TTCTCTTCCATTTATTCATTTATTTGTTTAGATAAGTATGGACTCATTGGTTCTTATTTTGTTCAGTAGTTACAATTTATTACTCATTATTAATTTTGATAGACGCTGCTTTTGCCGGTGAGAACCCTTCAAACTGACCCTTGGGTCCTTTTGATAATTCCCCTTCATTCTTCGGGTGTTTCCTTACTTTCTGACACAGGAAGATGTGTTCCAGGTTCATTTATATTTTCCCTATCACAGCTCTGGAATTGACATTTCTCCAAGGAATCCTAGTTCCTTTTCGTGGAGAATGATATTTAGTAATTAAGACTTTAAGACCTGGTGTATGCGCGCGCATGCGTGTGCGTACATGTGTGTTTCAATAAAGCTATACTTTGGAATATTACATTTACTAAATCAGTGTGTACAGTATATATGAGTGTGTGTGTGTTTAATGTTACAAGTTTCAAACAGAAGAGCATTTATTTTACATGTAATAATCATAAGTTTTGACAAGAAAAATACATTTTTCATTTCACAGTAAATGGCATTACATGGTTTTGAGCAGTAAATCATCTTGACATTTATGAAGGAGCAAATGAAAAGTGGGGAACTGAGTGTGTTAAATATAAAGCTATCTTTAACTGTTCTATTAAAAAGCAAAGATTTATTTTCCATCTGTGATCTGAATGTGCCTATTTGTGTTCTCTTTCACCGTAGTGGAATTTCTGTGGAGCCACACAACAGAGAGCATGTGTGTTGGATATATGTCAGCCCAGGATGGGAAAGCCAAGGTAAGTCGGGGAAAACTGGGTCGTAACCTGAAAACCTTGTAGCCGTTGCATAAACCTCTGACCAACTAAGCTGATATGGATGAAGTTTTTCAGCCTCTCTTGGGCAGTAGCTCTATAATCTTCATAAAAATCTGATTAAGAATAGTTAACAATCCTAAAGAAAGACAGCATCTCTCTTTTGCGTTTGGTGACAGAACAAGGTGGCTTAAAACTTTTTTTTTTTTTCCCCATCTTGCTTCTCTTTGCCCATTGTGAATAAATGGAAAAGAGGAAACGGGTTTGGGAAGAGAAAATGGGAGTGAAAGTGATGAGTTGACATAGATGGGTGATTCTGCAAGGAGTATTGGAAGACATAAAGGAAACTGGGGCAGAGTGAGTTCAGCCCCTGGAAAGCATCCTTGCATGTTTGGTGGAAGAGGTGGCTGACATGCTTGCAAATGTGACCTGGATCACATTCCAGGGTTCTGGCATGTCCCAGCATATTATCTTCATTGTCAGAGTCTAAGATCTTTGCCTCTGCCTGCCACATGCCTGTGGCACATGTCGTTCAGTGAGTTACAATAATCACATAGGCATCTATACACTACCTCTTGAGCTGCTTGGCTTCCCTGGACTCTTGATGGTCGAGTAGGGGAGTAAGAAATATAATTTGTAGATTTTATTTTATATTGGCCACATGTTCTTCTTCATAAAATTTTTAGAAACAGCTGTAGTAGATGATGTTTACTTGGCATTAAAGTACCTAAATTGCAAAGCTGTGAAATTGGGCAGCCTCTTTTTTAAAGAAAATGAGTTATTTCGCACATTTGGAAATATAAAGTAAGGAAACTTCTGATATAAATTGTCTAATACAGATTGAGTCATAAATACAGGATAAGTACAATAAGAATACTTTATTACTCATTTGGCATATAATACTCATACAGATGGACTTACTTCTGCATATTATATGGCAAACTAGTAGCTTCACAGGGAACAGTGTATAAGAGCATTTCATCAGACAAGGATTGACATATATTTGTGAAAACATTGCTGAGATCCCCTTTTATCTTACCCTCACCTGGTACAATATTCATATTGTATTAGTAGACCTATTTCATTATAGCATGCCTCAAGATTGCTTTGTTTGTAATCTATAGAGAAGGGAATTATAATTGCCCATTTTAAAGGTGATTCAAGGGTTAAGCACTGTCTAATAGAATTTTCTCTGATGATATAAACATTTCATATTTATGTTGTTCAACATGGAAGCCTCT